ACATATGATGACAGTATATTTACACTAACATCTGTCACAGTAACCTGTCATAACTAATATATTAGTATATTACTAACTATATATAAGGCTTAAAAATATTATATATATAATACACAAATATTAATTTTCTCCAAAAGTATATGATATCAAACACATGTTACATAATTTTTTCTTCAATTTATATTAAATATATTCCCTTTCTTTTTGAAATAAGATAATATGGAAATACATAAAATATACATATAGTTATAATATATACATAAAATATATTATAATATATGTATATCGTGTTTCTATGAGGTCTGAAGAGGTCGAGTAAACTAAACTTTAATCACTTTCACCACTACATTTGTGTAACACTAATTTGTCTTTATTTTGAATATTCGAATTGTCTACAACATTGTAGAGCACCGCATTCTTATTCCAAAGGTCGTCGGTTCAAATCCCACCAGTGGACAGATTCTCAGTTCTTTTGCAGCTTTGATATTAAATGCATACATACTATAGTGCAATTACTGGTGAGTAAACCAAGTAAGAAGTCATCTGACCTAAATAAAAGCATTGCAATCAAGCAGTGCTTAATTACTCGGGGACCCCAATAGATATTTAGCAAATAAGGAAACAAAAGAAAAAAAACACAAAAGTAAAAAACTCACTAAACTGAGCGGTCAACATTATAAATTATATATACTAGAAGCTTGAACCTGGTCAAAGATTTTATATTATTGATTGTCATAAAACTACTATAATCACTGCTCAAGAAAGAACTAAAATAGCTATATCATTCTCAATATACATATTTCTTTATTAAAAACTTTCTTCTAGGTATAGCTTCGTAAAAAAAAACTTGGCAAACTGTCTAAAACTGACCTGAAAGAAAACCTGGCTTAAGATCATATTTGACTGTTTAACATTAAACTCTTGTGAAAATTAAATACATAACAAATTTGTTCAAAATTCCACTGCCCTTTTAATGCAAAATTTAATTAAAAAGTTCTCTGATCAAGTACCTTAAAAGATAATAAAACATGGAACCCATAGTTGGAAAATATTTACCTTTAAGATATACATAAACTTGTTATCCACTTCAAATATCCTTTAAAAATCAATAATCCAGATATCACCAAATATTCCCTACTTTCTATTTTAAATTTACTTCACGTCTTTCCCTTTTTATTTTTACTATAAATTACCTATAAACAAATTAAACCACAATTTCAACACTTTATATTATCACCTAATTAGCTCTGACACTCAAGTTTAAACACTACTACAAATTTAAGAAATTACAATGCATGGTTAAAACATTATTCTTCTTGTAAGGTGTGATCAACACTTTGTAAATACATAGAAGTCCAATCTCACAGTAAATTAACCCCGAGTGAGCGCATGTTATTGCATGTTAAAGCCTTATCTAAGGGATATAACCATACCTGTATTGGAAAAGATCAATAACCAATCAGCATATCCGTATACTACCTATACAGGAGTATTATATAGAACAAAATTAGGGTTTTATTATACACAATTCACCTACAGTAGAATGACTTTATAACATATTGTGGATCTTTTTTTTGTTGGTTTGAAAATTTGAAAAATTCTTTTTAAGAGAGAATAATGCATTGTCTGTTGAATATGTTTACACAATTGATTGGTTTTGTGTACACTTGAATAGTGATTAATTAAGCAAACATGAGGAGACAATTTTGAAGTATATTCTCAAGTTTATAGTACAAGAATTTTATAAAAAAAAAAAGAAGAAAAAGCTGGGTAATAAATGGGAAAAAAGAATTTAACAAATAATGGGAATGATCTATATTTAAGAGTGAAGACAATGCATCTAGTTTCTGAAATTCTATATTAGTATATTAATTACCCCTGACCTTCTGAATTTCTTAAGAAGACTTGACCAGCTGCAATATTTTTTTAAATATACATTTAATCAATTATTTGAATATCCATTTTGGGATATATTAAGTTGAAAATTAAAAAGACTTGCTTGACCTGAGCTCCCATTTTTTGAGAATGTACAAAAGTCATTTAATATCCATTTTGGGATATATTAAGTTGAAAATTAAAATCAGCCAACAGTATTGAGTCTGGTCAGACTGCAATGATGTGCGGTGCATTTTTTTAATGGAAGTACATTGGCAAGTCAGTCTTGAAAAACATATATTTGACCCTATCCCATATGCCACCTATGTTTTTGCCTATTCATTTACATGGCAATGATTATTACAAAACGTTTGTTCTATTCTTACATGTAACTCCTCCTTCAAAAATAGTTTAAACACATTAAGTTTAGCCTGATTTTAATGAAAGCACAAAGCTTTCTTGAACCCGGCGTCGGTTACCCACGTTATATATTTCATACATACTACATTATCTAGATATTGTAGCGTGTACAAAATATAAAAAGGGGGTAACTGACGATGATTTGAACCACTCTTTGGTCCACGTCCTATAACCAGTACTAGTGTCACACGAGGCCAACACATGGTTGTTACCACCAGTAGGGCTTGAAGCCTTAACGCCTACGTTGAGAGGTAGATACCCTAGCCACTAAGCTTTTATCTCCCTTTTTTCACAATTGCCTATTGTCCTTTTTTGTTCATCAGCATATTTGAATAAAATACACCATAAACAATTTCATATGACATTAAACATCTGTCTATGTATACAGTAAATAACATTACAAATGCATACTTTTAAAGATAAAAAAAAATTAAATAATAAACAGCTTTTGATGTAAACATCTCACTATTCCTTTGCATAGTTTTACATTATTTAGCTGCCAATTTTAAAATCCATTTCATGGTCCAGAAAGAAAAGATTACCTAAACTTCGCAATTTCACACTTTCCGCCTTTTTTTAACAAGTTGATAAAATCAGTGTGCAAGAGGTAAAATCTATGAACAATTTTATCTGTCATGTGGTTAACAATGTTGTACAACATGAGTTACTAACATTGACAAGACAACATAAGTTTATTGCTCCCATGAATTTGCAAAATTGAAGATTGAGATTTTTATCAGGCATGAAAAACAGGGTGGATAACTTTTATTTCTTTTAAATGGACATAATGCTGGCTCCAGCTTCTTACAGTCATTTAAGATTATCAGTTTAATCAAATTTTCTGAGATGATATCTTTAATACATAATTGGATATCAAAAATAAATGCTTTATTTAACTTATGTTATTTTTGTCAGTATTTATTCTTCGGTTAAGTATCTAATAAATTAATGTTTTCATTTGTAAATTATTTTTTTGTCAAAATATATTTTGTTTGTTTGTTTCATGTCCATTAATTAAATGATATCATAATTATCATAATTACTTTAAACATTTATTGTTAATGTATTAAGTAACATTACATTGTTTAAGTAAGAATGCATTTAATTTCCTAATGTATCAAATTTATCAAACAATGAACTTCATAGTAGCTGTTTCAAGTGACCTTTATATTAGTGCAAAACCATGATAACTTGCATACATGTGCAACTGCCCTTTTTACATCAAGTGTGCCATGATACAGCACAATACCCAGCAAAATTTCTCAAGCTTTTTTTAATATGTGTCGGGACTGAAAACATTTTCAAGAGATTGGTGTACAATTTGATGATGGTCTGGGCTAATAACTTGGTAGCAAATTTTCAGATCATTCCCTCATCCTCTTTTTCCAGAATAATCATTTTTACTGTGCAAAAAGACCAGAAAAGGGTTGCAACGCTTTTCACTGAAATCCAGTTAAGAATAGCAAAGGAAATGGATTTTCATTTCAATTCTTAGTATAATTCTTTATTATTCTTTGCAGAGTTTACCATTTTAAGTGCATCAGTTGATATTTTGAAGATTATTAAATTTTGAGTGTTTAGGTCTTTGTTCCTCAGTGGAGTTCCTTTAACAAAATTATATAGGGCGGAATAATATATTTTACATACTTCTGGTATCACAACACTTTTAACTCAATTTGGAGCCTGACTTAAGCAGTAAGTAAGTAGTAGCCCTAAAGACAGTTTCCAAATGACGAGACACATGAGCCCTCAAAACATATCACAACATGAATGGTGGCACAAAATCTGGCACATATTGAGCATTTCCATATAAGTCTCCATAATAAATTAGCAAGGTCAAATTTCAACAATCAAAACAAATTAAGATTTGAAGGTAGGAAACTAATTCTGTGGTTAAAACAAAAATATACCACAAAAAATATACCAAAAGTAATTTAAACTTCACTGATCAAGTTCCATCATGTTTTGAACTTAAGGTCACATTATTTTAATTAATCTAATTAACATAATTAATTTATTCTAACCACAAATTGTTTTTTTCGTTCTATTATATAGTTTCATTTTTACAAAGAATTGCATACTTGTTAGTTTCATATATAATATGTGCCTGGGTATTACCACAGGCCCTTGAGGCTGAATGATTGAAGTCATTGACTATAAATCACTTTCTTTGAATGCTGTGGGTTCAAATCTTGACAGGGACGTTGAGGAAGTTAACCTGAGCCGGCTTACATAAGGTTGGTGGTTCAATTCAGGTGCCTGCAAATGCCTGAAATATTGCATTATTAAGTGAAATAATTATATATAACTTCTTTACTAAGAGAAAGTTAACCAGCAGTTGCATACTACTATGAGGATGGAGTCTTCATCATTACACAATACCAATTTCAACATGTAACTATCAACTTCTACAAGATAGCTAGCTTTCAGTAAGTTTCTTGACTTGAAATAATTTCAAAATTCTTTTCATGATTAAAACCCTCATCATCTCATATTTTTAGAAGTTCTACGGAAGTTGTATTTAGTATTTTATATCTAGCAAGGATATTCTTCCATAAAACTTTTCTGTGAGTCTCTGGACATTTTCATACATATGAATAACTGAATACCGGTAAATTGTCCTATTCTGATTGCTAGAAATAGATTTTGTTATGAACACAAGTAACAATTTTATTTTACTATATAAATGTTATGTAATTACTTACGTTACATCATGAGGTAAACAAATAAATATCCACATGCATCAAAAATATCTCTGTCTTGCTTAATCTAATGAATTTATCCAATTACACGTCTCAAAAGAGAATAAAACAAATTCATTTATACTGTATACAATATCATAATTTTAAGATTAAACTGTCATATATTCAATTTTAAAGTTAAAAATGAATTTGTCCTTATATAAACAACTACATCTCTATAAACAATAAAAAACAACCCAAAGTCTAATATTTCATGATATACATTTCTTACTCACTCATCCAAGTCACCACACAGGGTTTCATAAACTTTTATTATTGTTATAATAATTTTACTATAAACCAAACCATTAAAGTGATGTATGGCTCCAGACCTAACTTTCATACTCATTTTATTACCAAAAACACAAAAAAAATACTGCTTTCACTTCCTTGAATTTTCACTTACAATCCTAATTTCTTATAATATTCATAATAAGAAATTTAATGTTAATTTTTTATGCAGATTCTGACAAATAAAATTGCTGGAAAGTGCCGATGTAGAGATTGAGCTTAAGTTTTATATAATCAAACAAGAATTATATATGAAGTCATGCCCGGGCTAGACAACCAACAACTTCCGTGTGTAATTGTTTTTTAACTTGATTTACTTATGCCCATCATATTGAGTGTTGGCAAGACACCTTGACAAATGACTTTACAAATCTAGCAGCTATTTACATGTTTATTTCTGTCACAAGTTAATAAGGTAAGTATATTTATTAGGCAATATTAAATTAGTAACAAGAGCTGTCAGTGGAGACAGCACACTCAACTAATTTGATACTCAGGACACAGTAATTAAAGAAAGACAATGAAAATCTTAAAAATGAATTGTAACTTATAAATATATTTATTGAAGCTTAGTATAAATACGAAGAAAGCACTAAACATGTTATGTTCGACTTTTTCTTGCAATGAAAATGAATGCCAATGAAAGTTAAGCAGTCAATATCTGTGAACAGACATATCTATGCTGTAATGAAAAGACAACAATCTGAAATCTAAAGTACATGTACAAAGTCATGTATATCAGTGCCAGCAATGGAAGAAGTAGTTTTGACTTCCATAACTTTATATGTCGCATTTATTTTGACGTTGTGGCAGGTCTAGAAATACTGTAAAACCTGTTCGCGGAAGTATCTTTAGCTATGGAAGAAGATATGAGTAAAAAGAAACCTTTTTTTCATGCAAACTTCTCAGTTCAAGTGAAATTAAATCTTGAATTACACATATCAGTTATGGACCTAGTCAGATGACATTGTTACAATGTCCAAAGAAAAGAATAATCAATGCAAAGAACACTAAAAGATGCACCTAAAATTCTTGACCCAGGGTTTTCCTTAAATCTATGATAAATATACTGGAAATGTGGTAAGTCATTAAAAGCATAGTAAACATTACTTCACTGAATTTACTCACCTAACAATACTTATTAACAGTTTTAAATCCGCTTTAAATAATCACGGATTTATATTACATATAATTTAATATAAATCCGTGAAATAATCTAGTAACTGCAGTAGCTGAACTTTTTAAGCTCAGCAGAGTTACCTCCCTTTCATATGATAACGCCATTTATGTAAACAAATAGCAACAATCTGACATTAATGTTACAACGTTAATTCGGAATGTTATAAGGTAAGTTAAAGATCTTCCGCTGATCTGTTGATAACGTATGCAGTTACTTTAATAGATCTATGTCTTTTTAAAAGTTTTATGTCAGAGACATCTCTGTTATCATCCAGTATTCCAGGTTTGAGAAACTCTTGATATGATCTGCTGATAATATCTCAAATTACTTATTTTGTCTGTAATGCAGTTTTACTGTCAGTTTTTTTTGTTAAGCTTATGAGATCTCTTATAATGATTATTATTGCCAAAGTTAAAACGGTTTTGAACAATCAAATTTATGAATTATGTGTACAACGAGAAAAGTCAGTCTACACATACAATGTCAATGAGATACTGTGCTAATTAAATTTTGTGTTTTTGACCCAGAACAAAAATATCTCAGAATCTAGCTTTGGCATGTCAATATATTTTGACTACTCAGAAGCTGAGTGTTAAAAGTTTTAATGAGTGTATCGGAGACATTAATTGCATGATTAATTGGCTTGTCCAGCTATACTACTCATTAACATGAAATCAAATAAAAGATATATAGATTTCTATACCTATCAGTGAAATTTTCAGTGTCATTTCTATTTGGGCGCATCCATTTTTGAGGTAACTCAATGATGATTGACTGGGTATAACAGAACAGCTTAAGACCAATCATCAAGGTATTCTGATTGAAACAGGGAGCGGTGCATGAAATGCCAAATGATACTTTATTTAAAACAAAACAAAAACAATTTTTTTTATCCGACTTCCCAGTTCATACCTGTAGACTTTGCCTACTTATATATTACATGTACTTGCATGTTGGACTGTAGTCACTGTAAGCCACGATGATCAATATGAAACATCAATAACTTTTTTCACATATAATTATTTGGACTCATCAGACAGGCGTTTCTGTTACTTTTGCCCATGTTGGAAATTTCATCATTTAAGTTGAGTTGAGTTGTAAACTTGAAAGCTTGAGTGCCATTTCTACATTAGTGTTCATTTACCTGATACAAGTTACAAACAACAGTTTTTCATCATGATGTTTTCTTTTCAGCAAAGCTTAAACAATGGCAACAAATGAGGATCTAGAAGAGGAACTGTATTGTCCAATTTGTGCTGATGTATTTGATGACCCATTGATGTTACCATGTACACATTCATTCTGCCGAAAATGTCTACATGAGCGTATTAAAAAAGGTAATCCATAGAATTAAAAAAAAACAACAAAAAAACATTAGGATATTAGTTATAGCTCAGGAAGACAATGTTTCATTTTAGCCTGTCATCATATCATCATGACCACTCTGGTTCTTGCTTGATTACTCATTATTTCAATTTAATTGATTTATTTTAATATGTTGTGTATATGTTGTGTATATCAGACATTGTAATTATGTTCTGTACATCAGCTGAGTCCCACATGGAAGATTGGGAAACCGAATGTGTAAGCCTCGTTAAATAAAGGCGTTACTTACTGTCATCATCATTGTCCACCCTCCTGCTCTGTAAGTATCTTTATAAAACTTACAGTTCCATAAAACATGACCCTTAGGTCAGATATTGCTCCAAAGTAAGTTGGTTAACCTTTTTGTTAACAAAGTTTGGTGATACTGAAAATACCAGCAGACCGTTTTTCTAAAAAAAAGTAGAGGTTTTGTCATGAAACCCTCATCTGCATTTTCATGGGTAAATTTTTTGTTAACAAGCAAATCTCTTAATCTGCTAAAAATAATCATTTCAAAGTTAGAATTAAAACTACCATAAGTCACTATCAAAAAGGAATCTCTTCTTTTTTTACACAATTATGTTAATTACAATCATTTTCATTAGTCCACTACTCAAAACCATTCCATTAACAATGAAAAAATGAAACATGCTGTCTTATTGGACAACTCTCATTGTCGTAAATTTCATGGCAGCCAATCAAAGAAATGATATCACTAAGAGTTAATTTAAGAAAAACTTGTATAAATGTTACCTTACAGTGGGGGCGAGGCAAAGTGGTTAACTCATCAGACTAGTAATTTAAGGAGTGCTGACCACGTGGGTTCAAACCCTGTCAGGGGCAAGCCCTTGTTTCCTTGACCAAGAAACTTAACTTTCATTGCTTAGTACTGGTTGGTTCCTGGAACAAATTTGAGAGTGTTTCATTAAGCTTATAGGTTCCAACGCAATCAAACTAAAATTAATTTGTATAAACTATAAACTAAATGTTACCTTTATAATTATATAGATTAGCTATAAATAAAGTTTTTTTCACAATGAAAATATGAGTGTATCAACATTACCTAAATCCTTAATTTCTGATTTCTACTAAATTACATGTAAGATATTTTGAATTAATTTATTTTATTGTTATGCTGTTTTAGGTAACATCACACGGAAGTTGGCTTCAGTAATGTTTGACTGCCCTGTATGCCGGAAAGTAGTAAAACTTGACGAAAACGGTATTGACACATTGCCAAGAAATCGCTTATTGAAGAAAATGGTTGACATGTTTAGCACTCAAACATTATCAAGCCAACAACTGCTGCGCAGATCTCAAAACTTTACAGAAATGTGCGAGTCACATGAAAAGGAACTTGGTGCATTTTGTAGTGTGTGCTGGGAAGCTGTTTGTATTGATTGTATAACTGGTGATCACAGGGGACATGCCATCGAATCTGTGGATGATATGTTCCACAAACAACAAGTAAAAATAAATGATAAATTTTATCAAAGATATTTGTTCGGAATTTGTGTTGGCATTGCTATCACATTTTGGTTAAGATTTTGTGTGCAAGTTGGTGTCTCCAAAACTAAGGAAGGAAATGGGTTGTAACTTAACACACTTACCTAAGAGCATAATAGGAAGTAATTTTCCAAGCATGGATTTTGACCCTTTTTGTACATCAAAAATTCTACATTATCCATGCTCACTGAGAACAGTTGAATATGCTGTCCCACTGAGGTCAATTAGTAAATAATAGTTTAGAAATTTGATTTAAAACACTTGGTAACATTTTGCATGTAACAGTCTGAAGCATATAATAGGATCTCAAGCTTTTTTGTTTTAATCTGTTTGAAAATTCATTGTCATCTGTTTGTTTGTTTTGTTTTTTTTTGCGAAGAGGTCTCTGGAGAAGAAGAAAGAAGAACTTGAAGAAGAAAGAAAAATGATACGCAATTCAAGAGGGGAGGAATTTATGTTCATGGAACAACTAAAGGTATGTTACATTACGGTCAATTGCAAATCGAGTTCTTGTAAATTGTATTAATCACTTGCGAGTCTGCTTCATGGAATCAATCAGCACTGGCCTCAAGTTTATAAAACTCTTTCTGAATTCTGTCTTAAATTTCATGATTTTCATTGGTCAGTGAACATTCTGTGGCAATTTCTGACCAATCAAATGCCTGAGATCTGAGTTTGACCTATTAGAATTTCTTTACAATCTCGGACCCTGGTGTCATGTGAAGAGACATGGTTGTGACTCAATATGTGCTCGAACCCCTAAGGGTATGTTAAAATGGAATATTTCATCCAGACTTATCAAGGTGTATTTAGAGCTGTACAAGTTACCCCAAAATGGATTTAAAATGTAAATTAAATGTGTCCATGCAGACTTTTTAATTTGTTTTATTACATATTGCTTTAACTTAATCTTTATTGTTATTAAGGGGACATTCTAAAAAGTTTGAAATTTGGTTTCTTATCATTCCCTGTATCAAATATGATAAAGTTTAGGTACTACAATGATCCTGAAATATTCTTCCTTTGAACTTTCATGTAGGATTTTTTTCCCCACAAAACTACATGTATTTCATATTACGGTAAGTACAAATGAGAACTTTCTATTGGTATTTCATTTCTCTATTTTATCAATATGTTTGTGATAAGAGGCTACATAATTTGGACATCTAAATTTTTCTTGATATTAAGAAACTTAATGATTATAATTTTGTTTTGTGAATTGTTCGTTTTGTTACTACTTACTTTATAATAATTGAATGCACTATTTCAACAAACAGCTCAGTATTTTGTATCATCTTCAAACTGTCATCACCATACTGAAGTACTAACATAACTCCTATTTTGAAAGTCACATTTGATTTCAGGCAAGTCTTGTATGTATCCAATGATCATATCAGAAGAATTTCTATTCTAACACACTTCACACTATTTGACTATCAAGCAGACGATCAAGCTTATTATTTCACGGTATATATGCACAGCATAAAAATCGAATGCCTACACATCATATGATGTCATATATCACATCAATAAACCTAATGACATCAGGAAAATGTCTTCTTGGCTCAATGTAGTTCAAAATACTATTTTATTAGCATGTTAAAATGGAAAAATATATTCATTTTTCTTGCCTTATACATGTAGTATAATAATGCTCGGTTTATCATTCAGATGCTTTGTAATTAATCTCTCTTGCCTATTGGCCTTCATGATTATATTCCTGTGCATTTGAACTAGACCTGTGAATTATTCTACAACAATTTACTAAAAAGAGCAGCCATATTGTTTCTATGTTCATTATAGGAAGTTTGTAAACAAAAAAGTGAAGCATTTGAGATGCAGTTTGACGAGTATATTGGACAACTACAGCAATGTAAAGACTCTATTATCGGTGAGTTGTCATCGCGGCTAAGAAAGGAGATGGCCAAGCTTCAAAACACCATAGATGATATAGATAGACAGGAGAATGATCTTGATAAAGCAATAAAAGAAATAACAGATATTATGAAATGTGACAAGCTTAAAGTATTAAAGGTAGTATACATTGCCAGTTTTTTATTGTCATTTTGAGATGCTAGATTCTTTATTCTTAATCTTAAACATTGTTTGACCCATAGCCTTTATTCTTTACTGGATGATGGTCCTTAATTTGTAGAAGCATCAGATGTACCTGTAGGTGGAGCAAAGTGATTTGTTGCTTCAAAATTTCTTTGATGTTACTTATTGATTGACAAACAGTATGGCTGAAATTCTTGCAGGTCAACTTTGTTACAGGTACATTTTAAAGATTTCTTGTCTCCTTATTGCTAAATCATTGACCTAATGTTGTATCTGCAGGCTTATCAATGTGACTGAAAACATTTTAATGCGACTAATTAGCAAGTTGGGGCTTTTTTCCAATCTCTGCCTTTGTTCACATGTTTGACTGTACTTGAACAAACAGATACAGTAAAAACTCTGAAAACCGGACCCTCTGAAAACCGGAATCCTCTGAAAACCGGACAATTTTAAAAGTTCTGTATTTTCTCCTTATAAATTCAATGAAAAAAATTCTCAAAATACCAGAACTTTTGAATTCCAAAAACCGGACAATTTTCTATGGCTACCAATACTAAACATGCTTAAAAAATCCTCTGAAAACCGGACATCAATTTTAAGTGTCAACTTTTTGTGTATTTTAATGTAGATTAAAACATAATCCCAAACAGGTTACATGTTCAGTTGCCAGTTATTATGGTCATCTGCTTTTTAACTATGCAGGTGTGAACTTGTCAGTGTGTGTAAATTTCTTATTGGCAATTAAATTATAGCTCTTATATTATAATAGCATCTTTCAAAATGTTTTAATTTGTTTTTTTTATAGTAAAAAATCTAGTCTAGATACATTATATCTTTTTTATTAACAGGAATTCCCAAGATTGAAAGATAAGAAGCCATCAAAGTAAGTAATTGGATTTTGTTAATTTATTAGAATTTATTAGTTAGATTTAAAGTTTCTTATTTGCATTTCTTCTTTTTGATTTATAATATTGAAAAAATCTGTTAGTGGTTATCAAAAATGCATTATTTGACAGAGTACTAGTATATTACGCAAAGACTTACAAAGCGTCAGTGGTTTTATTATGTGCCTGAAATATTTTTCATGAAAGGACACCTGAGGTCTTTCTCCGCCAGTAAAGCTGAAAAGTCACCATATGACCTATACTGTGTTGGTGTGACGTAAAAACAAACCAAAAAAATATTATGCAAAGAAGTTAGAATATAAACTCTTGACCTACTAGCAGTGACTGAATTTAGCCATGCATCTAGTGCAGACCTAATTTATCCATGCCATCTGATCATAGTCTGCACTGTATGGTATTCAGTCAGTACATATTTTGAAATTTTCCTAAACATTATGAATGGTTTTGTCTAGATTGAGAGATGGACAAGTTTATTTAAGAAAATTAGTGTGGAAAGGGCATGAATAACAGAGGTATGAGATACTTGCTTCTCATTGCTTTGAGTTCAAATCCCACCAGACAATTTACTTTTTTTAATGCAGGGATGCCATATTACTAGCTAATGGAATATCTGAGGGTCTGTACAGGTGCCTGATCATTCTTGAACTAATATGAGGAGAGGCACCTAAAGCTGTCCTTGATCAGTAAACTGAAACATTGAAATATTAACCTATATAGTATTATGTTTGAATTTAGATTTTTTTTTTTAAAAATTTGCATGCCAACCTACTTGTTTGCACTACAGTAATTAATATGAGTTCAAAGTTATGTTATTACGTATATAACTTATTATTATAATAATGTATTGCAAGAGTAATACATTACATGTATAAATCGTATTTTAAGATTTTATGAGATATTTCATTCTAGCCAAGCCAATATTATTTTCATATTTGAGCATACATTAACTACAGGTTGGGGTTGTCATCAAGAAGTGATAATCATCATTTACCATCATCTAGTAGAAATACCTCACACAGCTGTTGTTTCATAGAGTGTACATTAAAGTTGGACAGTGCTGCCCTAGAAACAGCGATAAACAACACTCATTTACTGTGGGAGGCAGAGTATGACTACTTTATTCCACATTCCAGCATCAGTTCAGTTTTTTGTAGTTTTTGAATCCTGTTTGGAAACCTGAATAATAGTTTTGATAGAAATATTTGAGCCGCGTCACAACAAAACCACCGTAAAGCGTTTGCGACCAGCATGGATGCAGACAAGCCTGCACATCCGCGCAGTCTGATCAGGATCCATGCTGTTCGCTTACCAACCCTATTACAAGTAGAGAAACTGATAACGAAGAGCATGGTCTGGATCCATGCTGGTCGCAAACGCATTATGTTGGTTTTGTCATGACGCAGCTCATTTTAGTTTGATTGGAACTGAAAGCTATCAGCTTAAAGTCACACTCTTGAACCAATCAGTATTGAGTAATGAGCGTAAGAAAACAAATGGCTGACTCCTGACAGAGTTTGTACCTACACGACTAGCAATCCTGAATTTCATAAATTCCCTAGATTGAATTCTCTCATGTTAAAATGTTTTGTAGGAAGCCTAAAAAGTTTATAAACACACTTTCAGATCCATTCCTGGAACTAACCAGTACTAGGGAATGAATGTAAAGTTTTTTGTGCAAGGCCATGTTAGGGTTTGTACCCATGTGGTCAGCAATCCTGAAGAGTTTCTAGTTTATAATGAACTAAGTCCTTGGCTGAAAAAAAAAGAAAATTATTAGTAAGTAAGTAAGTAAAGTAAGTAAGTAAAGTCTTTATTTACTGAGGCTACACATTTGGTTTCCCAATCTTCCATGTGGGCCTCAAAACATAAATATACATAAAATATACATAATTTACATAATGGTTATACAGCAAAATTTTCAAATAACATACATGAAGACAAAAATGCATAATATATACATGAAAACACAACAAAAACAATGTACATTCAAACAAAATACATATTCAAAACACAATGCATGTACATATATTACTTAATACTTAATCTATGCAAGACCAAGGTACTTATGTGAAATTCCAACTGATATAGGAAGCTTGGAATTTTCTAATAGTTTCAGATTTACGAATAGAATGAGGGATATTGTTCCATAGTTTAGGGCCTGAATATGTCAGAGATTTTCTAAAAATTTCTTTTTTAGGTTGTGGCACAAATAAATCTGAGTTTTTTGCTGACCTAAGGTTATGCTCATGTCTTTGATGAATAAATTGAAATTTGTTTTTCATGTACTGTGGAAATGAGGCATTGTTTAAAGATTTTATACATAATGACAGCTTTTTTGTATCTAATTCTTTCATCAAATTTTATCCAATTTAATTCATTAAATAACTCAGCAGATGGAGCATCGTAGCTTTTGTCAAGAATGATTCTTGCAGCTCTTTTCTGAAATTTTATGATATCCAAAATCTGTTCATTGTTACAATTCCCCCAGACTGTACAACAATAATCTAAATGTGGTAAGATATAAACATTAAAGAACAGTTTTCTTGCATTTACATCAAGGTATTGTTTAATTCGGAGAAGAAGGTACAACTGTGTATTGCATTTCTTTAATGTCTTGTCTACTTGGGTTTTCCACTTAAGATTATTATCAACATGAATACCTAGTAACTTTTCTGTCTCAGAAAATTCAATTTCATGTTCTTGCAGATGTAATGGTTGTAATTGTTGTTTATTTCTATTGGATGACAGGTTCATTGCTTTTGTTTTCTGGGCATTTAGCATCATTGCATTTTGTTTGCACCATAGATTAATATTGTCAAGGTCAGTTTGAAGTTTATTATGTAAATCTTGTGTGTATATAATATGCAATAAAAAAGTTTTTTTCCAGTTGAGTTTACAAACAAAAGTATGTGATGAATAACAAATAACTAAATCATGTGACTGTTCTTAGTAACATTGTGCTTATTAATGTATAGATTATTATATGTATCATTTCAGGACTGATATGTTCTCACCAAAGCATTTATCGGACAGGTTTACACAGCTATATGAGAAAGAATGGAAGAGTGCATACATGGAATCAAGTTCTAAAGATGAAGTTGTCAAACAACTATTTAATATTCTTACAGTATGTCATTTTACATTTTCACAAAGATGTTTCAAAGTGATAAATTTTAAAGGTATGACTTGACTGAATTATTGACTGGATGATTTCGATTATTCTATTAAAAAAAGTTCCTAAGAAAATGTTGTTTAAAAAATGTTCCTGAATGTAAATTTTCTGTGTATACATGTAGTTAAGAAGAAAATTTGTTAGAATATGTCATGTCATGTTTTTGAAAGTTTCAAAATTTTCTTCAATGTCTTTAACACTGGTAAACATATGAGCTGCATCACGACAAAACCAACATAATGGGTTTGTGACCAGCATGGATCCAGACCAGCCTGCGCCTCTGCGCAGTCTGATCAAGATCCATGCTGTTCGCTAACAGTTTCTCTATTTGTAATAGGGTTGGTAAGCGAACAGCATGGATCCTGATCCGACTGCGCGGATGTGCAGGCTGGTCTGGATCCATGCTGGTCGCAAACCCACTATGTTGGTTTTGTCGTGACGCGGCTCATATAATTTCTAGTGCTGGCTTGATGTAATAATAAATGCAACTGTGCACTGAAAGAAATTAATACTGTCTCTATGTATTCTCTAATTGTGCCCTTACACATCAAATTATCATAAAGGGACTCATCTGAGGTTTATTAACATGATGGAATAAATACGAAATGAATGTTCCATTTGAGCAAAATTTCAGATCATTCGCTCACTCTGTTTTTCTGGAATTATTATTCTAATTATGAAAAAATTGAATCAAAATTTTTGCAACACTATTTACTCAAATCAGGTTAAGAATACATGTAGTACAAAAATACAGTTTTCAGTATATTTCTGAGTGTATTTCTTAATAATTTTTTGCATATCTTCTATTTATAAGTGGCCCAGTTGGTTGCTGTAAGAAATTTCAAATTTTATTTTTTTTTATGCTTTTTGACTTCAGTGGAGTTCCTTTAACTGATGGGGGTCAGTATTCGTGGATGGAATTTGTTGTAATATTCATCCTTACCACACTAAATATCTTAATTGGACTTGTCCATCTTTTAATCTGGACATGACCAATAATCATTTTTAGGGAAAATTATAAAATATAAACAGACTGAATAGCAAACCGTGCAGACCATGATCTGACAGTATAAATGTACTGGTTGATGCACTGGCAAGTTGTAGCTAAGCAGGTCAAGGTTTGAATATTTAAGCCCGTCTTTTATATTTTATTTTTCTAGGATTCTTACACACATGCAGATTTATGCTCAGAGACCCACCTGGAGAATTTAACATATCGTGTGTTGCAACCAGACATAGATGTTCAGATTGGAGAGTTCAACATGCATGGCTTTAATGATGTAGAAGTGGGTTGAATCACTTATTTTTATCCAAGATCTAAAATTAAATTATTTCCCAGAGGGAATAAATTCAAGTCAAAGTCTTAGGTCCTATGTTCAGATTGTTTAACCCTTATTTTTATCAGTACCTTGTTGATTGTATGACATTTTTAGTTGGATATGGAATTAGTTTTTTTAAAGCTAAAATAATTGAGGGTATAGCTTTTATTACAATTAGAAAATTCATAAAAAGTTTAATAATCATTGACCGCTGTAGCTATAATGTTTGATTTTGTTAAACAAGTGCCAAGCTTAAATAAAAAAAATCAGATGTTTTATAATATGAGCCGCGTCATGACAAAACCAACATAATGGGTTTGCAACCGGCATGGATCCAGACCAGCCTGCGCATCTGCGCAGTCTGATAAGGATCCATGCTGTTTGTGTTTCTCTACTTTTTATAGAGTTTGTAAGCGAACAGCATGGATCCTGATCAGACTGCGCGGATGTGCAGGCTGGTCTGGATCCATGCTGGTCACAAACCCATTATGTTGGTTTTGTCGTGACGCGGCTCATATATATTTTATTTTGTATTACAGCCAGAATCCTCAGATTCTACATTATTTTGTAATATAAAAGAGGACCTTAGAAAACTGAGGGCAAAACATGCACCTGACTTCATGAAAGATATAGTTTATATGGTAGTATTGAATTTTGTTATATTATTAGTTATAAAGATTTTTTGTCAGATTATATGGCCCTATATAAACGGTTGTTTGTGAATATTACCTGAGCCACTTATATACGGCCATATAACCTGTCAGGAATATTGTTATGAATTTATAATACTGCAAACTTTCTTTTATAGAAAAAAAGTGAGATTTATTCATGAAGTGACAGAAGCTGTGTATATAAAACTATATAAACACCACGATTATCCAATGAAAAGGGATGTTACAAACATGCAGTATTATAATATAAGTAATACAGGATAGGGTTATATTAAACTTGACATTATCCTAAAAAGCCAAGCAAGAAATTACCGGAATATACCAGTATTTCTAATTCATAAAAGGCTATATTCCTGCATTAGCCAGTAAAACCTATTGACAAAGCTAATAGTTATATTCATTTACAAGTACTTTGCAAGAAAAAAAAATAAGAGAAAAAGTTGAGGACAAAAAATGTTCTATCTCTCTAAAGGTTAATGAAAAATAAATGATTTTTAAACCAGCAATCATTTTGTGCTGTATCACTGAAGGCGAGCAAAAATATTTAAACTTTTTATCACACTGGCTTGGGGATTTCCTCAAAAGACGACAGATCCATAAAGTCTCAGCTTGTTGCAACCAATATCACATATACATTTTGTTCATTCAAAACGTCACTGAACTAATTGTGCATGTCATTGCAATTAATAAGAATTAATTAATAAGAATACTGTAACTATGTTTTGACTGGTATTAATATATTTCCAACAAACCTGTTGAATTTGTGAAATGGATTTGCTTGGCTTGAATTTTTTCTCTTAATAATTTTTAGTTATTTTGATATTAAAATACAATAATTGAGCTACCAACAGTATAGAGCCTGGTCAAACTCCTAGGACGTGCAGACTTGTCTGGCTCTATACTGGTGACAAATGCCAGTCACTTTATATTACAGCAGGTTACAGATTAATATATTTTTTATTTTGATAATTTAATACACTCTTGTACACATTTTAGTATATATTATTTTCAGATACAGCAAGATTTACCATCATTCTCAAGTACTTCACCGTCTAGCGGACTCCATGGTCATCTCTCGACATTTGCCAATAAATGTTTTGAACTCACCTTTGCCCTTAGACTCCAAGATCCTCCACTATTTCTAGATATCATAGAGACAGATAAGAATGATGGACATGGTATTGAAAAAGAAGTTTATAAACTTGTCAAAAGACGTGGGCGTAAAACAAAAACTATAGTTTGGCCACCATTATATTTGTACAAAGGCGGTCCAATACTTGCAAAAGGTGTTATGTTTATACCAGCGTAAGATATTGTTATACATATTATATATGTATTTATGGCAAGAACTGATTGAAAATCCATTAGCATTAATGTGGAAATGTTTGGGATTGTCCCAGAAATCAGATGTTTGTCCCAGAGTTGTCCCGGAAAAGATTGTGTCCCAGAAGAAAGGCAACACCATAATTTATACATATGATCTATTCAAGGATGCTGGTACATGGACAGTTATTTTGACTTAGTTATACACAAGAAATATTGACAAATGCCTGTATTACATTCAGTCAAATCTGTTTGAATCATACCCTTAAAGAATCTACGTTAACTATGTAGATTGTGTGCTACAGTGAGAATGAACTTCAGTAAAATTGTTGATTATGCATCGTTATGCAACGGACCATGCAGATCTGGATCTCTCTCACATTCTTGTGATTTGCATTTATATGTGATCTGATGGTGTGACAATATGTCACACAGTCAGTCCAAAGTATGTGATAATAATTGTGTTATAATCAGTTAGTCAAAGTTTATTCTAATATTTTTTTATACAAATTTTATTGAATTTCGTGTGATTTGCATTTACATTGCACCAGTCCTATTGACTGTAATAACACTATACATTACATTATTAAATGATAGATTATCAAGGTGTCATAGTGACATGGTAGTTATGGCGACTACTATATTTTTGTATATTAATAGGCTTTGAGTCTGATTTGGTGGCAGTGGTTGTAATTTTTCCTCCAGATCATGGCATAGAGCCACATTGAATTCACCAAGGCAACAATCTGGTTCTTAAACCACTTTGTCCAATACATATATCTGTGATCTTAATAATCTTTTGACAATGTATGTGTCTTAAACTTTCAGGAAAGTGCACTGTAGCAAATGTGTGATTTTTTTATACTGATATATATAATATATAGGATAAGATACTGTATAAAGCTGTGATATTTTGTACTTTAATGGCATCTTCCCATGTTAGTACCAGCCTTGTACTCCGTCCAAGTAGGAACTGATGGGAAGTTTAATTGCGTCTTATTTGTGTACTGATGCAGTATTATTATTATTATTATTGTTGTTGTTATTATATACATGTAAACAAATTTTAGACAGAACTTACTTATTATGATTATTATTATAATAAACATTTAAACAAAAAATTTGACAACTGTACTTATTTCTTCCATATAAACCTTTACTCATAAATGATGTTGAAAGTATTGTGTAAAACAGATCTTTAACTTCATTCTTCAAACTTTGCCCACTTAAATCACACCGAACAATCAAATGGGCTGACAGCTGTTCTAGCGTCGACAGCTGTACCAGTATATACATGTCGGCGCGGGGAATACAATTGACGTACGGTAAGTATTTATTTAAGTTTGAGTGTCATCATAATTTACATCATAATTTTATTAACGTCATCAGCTGTTTGCCTCTTTTTAATAACATCGACAGCAAATTATCGGCAAGAATGAATAACGCTGAAAGCCGTTCAAGCGTTATTTTTCTTAAAAGGAGTTGCATATGTACTATATAGTCCAGTCAGTCTGTAAATCGACCTCAAACAAATTGCAACATAAAAATGTTTTGCCTGCTATAGAAAGCATATCATTTATAATGAAATGAATCATATCAAAAGTTTAGCAACACCTGGGACATACGATATCGTATGTCCCAGGCAACACAGAAAAAGAAAACGGGTTTTATCGCGGTATTTTTTTGGTGATTTTTTTTTCTGACGCCAGCGGTCTTCCATAGGGAAACCAAAGCGTCTGCCTACTCAGAATAGCGTCTGCATAATGGCGACAACAACAACAAAATAAGTGTAAACAAATTAAATGTGAGTAAAATACACAGATAAGTGGGTTGGTTTATTTCTCTAAAATATTTAAGATCATAATATGAATTATTTTTTGTGAGGTTTATTATTATGAGTATTTGTTAAAAAATTTTCCTTTTTCACATGTTCGTTTATCCGTTGAAGGTCACATGGATTTCAAGGTATGCATATCGCCGATCTGTATTATAATATTCACGGAAACCAGTTATACTCCTCTAAATAAAATTACACCTCTGCTTAACCCCATGTATTAGTAAAACATTCGAAAACGGTTTAAAAATGTGTATTCATAACAAGTTGTTTTCGAAAGTTTTTTTTTTAATTACAGTATGGAACGCCATTATACCACTACCAGTACAGTAGATCTAATTGCGACGAATTACGTAAAATAAATTCTGAATAGATCTACTTAAATCATGTTTTCTTGTTAAATGAATATACAACGTTTTAATTTTTTTACTTTTTGATAGTGTTTTAATTGTTTTGTATATATGTATTTAATGCTATTATTATTTCAGAGGTACCGCTTTAAGCAGCCTTCATTGATGTATGCTTGATTTTGAAAATAAAATAATCCAGTAAACTATATGTACACTAAATGAGTAAGTATGCTTACCTGTGCTTATATTTGTAATATTTTTACAAATATAACACAACTATTTGTTTCAACATTATCCTTTTTAAGTTTTATTGAATATTATTAATTTAAACATGGAGAAAAAGAGCGTCTTCTGCATAATTCAATATAGGCCCTATCTGAAATTAGTTTCAGTTTTTAATCTACACCACCACCAACAACAACAACAAACTTTTATTAGCTGTGCAAAGAATATATACAATTACAAACATTTTAATAAAGCATAGCATGTGTATGATATTAGGTAATATTTACAATTCTTGTATGTATCGTTTAAAAACTTTTCTTCTTTCAAATGCATAATATAAATACATTGCGACAGATTTTATAAGTTCTTCATTTTTAGTTAACATGATAAGGGTGAGAAAAATGTGCAGCCTGACCGGGACTCGAACCCGGGACCTTCGATCGGAATACCGTTCCGCGGCTCTTACGAATGAGCTATCCGGCCGCTTACACATCTTCTCCCCTAAATAGTGAACAGTTCTGAACCGTGACATACTCCCCTGCTATATTGAAATTCGTCCTCGAATTTCACAGAGTTACAGAGCAATGTGAATTCAACTCTGAGCTATATTCAGTCACGGTCCCCCGTTGGGCGCCAAATGTCACAGGGTGAGAAAAATGTGCAGCCTGACCGGGAATCGAACCCGGGACCTTCGGAATACCGTTCCGCGGCTCTACCGACTGAGCTATCCGGCCGCTTACACATCTTCTCCCCTAAATACTAAATAGTGAACAGTTCTGAACCGTGACAATAATATTAAATTTATTAATAGTTGGTTGAGTAAAATACTTAGGTATGTATGCTGCACGTAAGTCAGAATAATAATTACAGTTTAACAAGAAATGATATTCATCCTCCACAGTATTAGAATCACATAATTTGCATATTCTATTTTCTCTTATTGTATTATTATATCTCCATTTTTCAACTTCCAGATCATGACTACCGATCCTAAAATTTACATATATATATATACCGAAACTTCCTGAGATTAAGAATATCAATATATCTTTCAAATATAAATCCCCTTTTGAAGGTTTTATATAGTTGCAACTTTGAATTTGTATTTAAACTTTCATTCCACTCCTGCAGACTTGTATCTTTTAGTCTAGTTTCAAAATTTCTCAAAAAATAGTTTTCATATTATACATCTTGGTCGTACCACACATAGCTAAAACCGAAGATTTGTAAACATTTTTTTACAGATGTAACCCAATTAACATGTCCGTAGTCATGTCATCAACATAACATGTCATCATATAACATCATCTTATAACATTTCTTGACAGTTCTATTTTCTGACATTTTTAAGATTTTTAACCAGTATTTTATTGCACTTTTATATGTTTTAATATACATAGGATATCTGGAACAGTCACATAATACTGCTACATTTGAAGCTTTTTTGTTTAGCACATAGAAACCTTTTACATGCATGATTTTGAACTCGTTCAAGCTCGTCAAACCCCCTAATCCCCATATTTCAAACCCATACAGTAAATGGGGAGAAATTTTACAATCAAATATTTAAAAAAAGTGTAACTTGATAGCTGACCGTATCCATATAGTGAGTTCAAAGTAGAGATCTTTACACGTTTTCCTTTAACACACACATCATGGACCATACTATTAACACGGGGGTAGAACCCCATATGAATCTCAAAAATGAGCATCGGTAAAAGTTATATGTGAATTTCCGCTGCACCAGATGTGAAGCATAACACCAGATGTGACTGGAAAAATAGTTCGATCGCAGGGTAAGTTTTCATCTTTTTAAACATTTATGTAAGATTCAATCCCTTTTTTAAGAAAATCGAAATGTGATTCTACCCTCCTGACTCTCCTCTATATTACCCATTGTTGTTTTGGATTTCTATGCAGTCTTCATCGAGGTATTCTTTACGTCGCGGGTTCTGGTGTGTCCAAAACATGCAATGTAAATGAAGAAAATGCCACTAAACGGACTAAAAAAACAGAGATTTTACGAAATCTCACTACAGATCGATGCTTAACATTCAAACAAATCCTGGTTGAAACATTTATTGAGATTTGGCTACATACGAAAGGAATCGCTGCTCAAAATTACATTTGAGCTCCAGATGTGCTGAAGAGATCCATAAGTGATGTAGTAAACCATCTACAAAACTACGGACCACTTCCATATAATCATTAAATAGCCAATGTTTAGAAACAATGTAGGTTTTGCAGCTTTGGCTGAAATTTCAATTGTAACATTAGTGTGTTTGATCGCCACAATGATAGAGCTCACTAGCTTATGCAAGCATTAGAAATACTAAAAGGGCCGAGTACATGAAAATGTTGACGCAGAGCGGATAGTACTCGTATGATAAACAATTCACTAATAAATGATATGTAACTTGGACAAACCAAACTAAAAGTATTGAACTTTGTAAAGCTATCGTGTCATATAATATGTTTCTATAATAATGTTTACATTCATAAAAAATATCTATCACTTTAATGTTACACAAGTTATAGTTATAGCGACAGACTGTTATGTGGAAATATCATGGCGTGGTGCGACATCGAAGGTTTTTCTTTACAGAATATGGGTCGAGAACATTGTCTGTAAGGAAAACTCGAGATGCCGTCCCAGGTCATGATATTTCTTCATAATAGTCGAGTTCGATATATTATAACTGTTTTATCGCATGATAAACAGAAATGAGAATTTTAATAAACATAGAATTTCAATTTATGATTGGCTTCTCTCCATAAATTAAATTCCCTTCTCGAAACCTCGGTTATTTATTATGTAACTTGTCAATGACCGATATTGTAAACCCAACACCATATGAGCCAATCAGAAGTATGTTGGGTGTTCCTGATTGGTTGGATGACCAAAGACACAGAAAAACGTTGCTGTAAATAATTGGGACGCGCCATTACTACGCTAACAGGCCTTTGCATCACACCCTCCTCTGCCCCATAATCTTCTGTCTCATTTGCTAGATCGTTAAGTATCTCAGGTGGCATTTCATCCATAATGTATATCTGTTCATTGCTAATGATTTTATTTATCTTTGTAAATCCATTCTGTGGAGAACATTTCATGGGACTTTATAGTTGTGAATTGAATATTAAGCGTTTTTTCTTTGAATTGGAAAAAGTAATACGTGCACTTTCTGGTGAATTCTTGGACTTTGGAGTCTGCGATACACGGAATCTTTTGACACATGGGGACAATTTAAAAGGCGAAAAAGGAGATGTAAGCACTGATGACTTCCTCTTTTTTAGGAAACAATCTATGTGTATTATGAGGTACGCATGTCCGCTCAATACGGTTAAGATCTGTTAAAGTTTCTTTGAAACCATTCAAAGAATTACAGAGCAGGCATCAAATTCAGATAGGCATTGACCCATAATTGCGACTGTGGGCATGAAGTTAACCACGTAATATTATGCGGGGAGGTTTCTTGATGTGGAAAATAAATATGCAAAGTTTCTTTGATCTTTTTTTTTTAAAGTTTATCACTAACTTTCTTACAGCATCATATACAGCATTTCATATTACTCCCCTGAAAAATCTCAGAGAAAAGCTGAAGCAAATGCGTCCCAGGTTAGCACAGAAAAATGTCCTCCTTGTTCACGATAACGCCCCCTCCCATACCGCCGCAGCTGCAGTGGAGGTTATCAACTCTTACAAATGGCAATTGTTGTCTCACCCTCCTTATAGCCCAGACTTCGCCCCCTATGACTTTTATTTGTTTCCAGAACTGAAAAAATTGCTTGCTGGAAAGAAATATAAGACCAGGGCGGCTTTGATATCTGCTGTTACACAGTACCTAAAACATAGGTCTACGTCATGGTTCACAGCGGGAATACAAAAGCTCCCACGAAGATGGCAAAAGTGCGTAGACGTAGGTGGGGAATATTTTGAAAAAGATTAGAAAGATTTTTTTTAAATGTTGAATGGTTTTCGAGAACGAGTCAAAAGTCCGGATATTTTCTGACTCCCCCTCTTACACTGTACATACTTTTAAATGCTTTAAACTAGTTACCTTTTAAACCATTTTCCTTTAAAATATTCCACAACAATTGTCAAAACACTTTTTAAAATCTACAAAAGCGACATATAATTTACTCGTGGCCACAACATAAAAATTCGTGGCTCGTGTGAACGATTTAATTATCTTGTTCCAATGACTTAGTTACTCGTGGCCACGACATAGTATCTCGTGCGCACGACTTAATTATATCGTGGCCACGACTTAGCAACTCGTGGTCACGACATAGTATCTCGTACGCACGAGTTTAATAAAAACACACACACACACACACATGTCACCTCTGTCTCGCCGTATAAACATTTGTTTTGATATTTCGACACAACATGAAACGATATATATGTCTTAATATACCTTTTCAAAACCCATCAATATATATTTTTGTTCAGTTTGTCTGAATATAGATAAAAAATGCTTAAGAAGACCTCAGGTGCCCTTCCGCATATTTTTTTTCAGGCACGAACAGGCGCCTGAATAGAACCACCCACTTTCCGTAAGGTAGCTGCATAGCTTTCTCACATGAAAGAATCCAAAATCCTTGACGGGAGTCGAACCCATAGCGATGCGGGACAAGTGGTTTTATTGTTTTAGGTTGGATTATAAACTTTTTGTTTATGTGTGGTTAATGTCTACTAATAACGATGTTCAATATATCAAAGTTTAATGTTTATTTTTAACAGAGGCTGGAATGTGGTCCGGAAAAAAGATACTTTTATGTAAATTTATATACATGTCCCTTCGTCAATATCCAATTGGTAGACATCGAAGTTTTAATCTCATTCATATTAATGGGACTCCACTGAGGTTTTCTGACATGACGGGACTAGAAATATTTTTTTGAGATTATTACTCCATCCGATGTAGGTCTATACCAACAACTTATGTGCAAAATTTCAGATCATTAGCTCGCTTCGTTTTTCCAGAATAATTGTTTTAATTGTAAAAAATGACCTAAAATTGAAAAGCTTTTAAAAGCTTTTCACTCAAATCAGACTGAGAATAACACAAACATACGATTTTCAGTGTATTTCAAGGTAAATATCTAAATTATCTTTTGTATATATTTCCATTTTAGGTGCACCAGTTGATCTATGTGAGAAATTAAATTTTTATGGTTTTAGGCTTATGAACCTCAGTGGAGTTCCTCAGCTATCGCGATGTCTTCAAGAAAAGGAAAGACAGGAAGGTATTAAAATGTTTGGGTTAAAGACCTTACATAAATTATCTACAATACGGAAAACTTGTCATATACGTAACAAGTATTTTTGCATCAGGTGTAAAAAAATGCAATCATGTCTATATAATCACAGTGCATCTTATGATTATGTCTTATCATAGCAAAAACAACACCATAGACATGCAGTAAATGAAATATCATATTTTGCTCGCCAGGGTCTTGCATTATAAAATTTTATATAACTCGCTCAATAGAACCAGTTTTGAACCTCAACTCATTCAATATTCTCTATTTAATGTTTAATAATGTGTTTAAGTAAAAATACTTGCCATTGCTTGAAATTATTGTAGACTAAGTATATTAATATGCTGACTAAATTACAGGAAAGTACACAGATCATTTCACGGTACACAAATGATAACTAGGCTACCATAAGGTTATATAATAATATATATAATTTCTTTCATGTTTCCAGACATGCATTCTTGCA